GTCTTCGTCTTCGACTTCATAATCATATCATGGACGTAGTCAACAGTGACGATAGAAAATTCAGAGAATTTTGACTTGCATAAAGGAGTATGAAGCACAACAGATGAGTCCGCTGTGGTCAAGGTGGATGTAGAGAGATCCTCCTTCAAGTTATCAATCTTCTTAGTGAAGAAATCCATGAACGTATGCGCAAGTAACTGCGATGAATCACAGGATGGAAGTTTCGGAGCAGTTTTCACTTTAAGACTGTGTCCACGAGAAAACCAGGCAAAACCAGGCAGTGGGTGCTACATGGGGGTCAGCCGATTCTCCTGAAACTTGGCACACTTATTGCATTTAGTAAGTTATTTGACATTCTATATTTTTTTTTGAGATCGGTCAAAAGGGGGGGAAGTTAGGTTCCCCCCTGGAAAATGGCCATTTTTAGCACAGAAATTGCACAAATTAACCTCAACTTTGCAGAAGCATAAAAGTGTAACGGTTATTCACAGCAACTTCAAACTTCTTTACATACAAGATATACATCTCAGTTACTGATATCAGGTATACAGATGGAAACATCTGTCAATCCGTTGCCATAGCAACCACATGACTGAACACAAAAATTTCCAATTTTGAATTTATTGAAAATTTGTGTAGTTTTGGAGCCAATATTTTGAAAATGCACATCGATTTTTTAAAAAATGACTGTTTCCCAAATAGATCTATGTCTCTAGTTATCAAAACATGAAAAACATTGGTGGGCACTCATTAATCTTAAAAGATATGACGTATGTAGTTCACCCTATTTCGAAAATATCACAAAATTCAATGGAATTAACCCATACAAAATACCAGTTAGACTCCTTTAAACAGACTCTAATTGACTTCATTTAAACTATAAGAATCTATTTTCGTGTTTTGATGTAAAATATTTTCATTGGGAGGCGAATTTGAATTTAAACAGATAATTTTGTTAAGACTAGTATATGCAAATCTAGTTTTTTTTACCAATCGTGTCAAAGATTGAACGTCGTGTTCTAAACTGGATAATTCGCCGAGGTAACCTGAAAATAGGAAAGAAGAGATACAGATTTGATTTAACACGAACAAAAAAGGTGAAATTTGCATATAGTGTAAAGATTCGGTCCGTTATACGCCTTTGCATCAGTAAGTGTTCGATCATTAGTCGAAATCACTCACCATGCTCTAAATCTCGACTTCGATAACTTCTTGTACCTACTTTGTGTTCTTTTCAAGTCGCAATAGCTGTAGAGACCGACATTTTACTTGATTGCAGCAAATAATTGTAAATAATTGCGATTTACGTCGAAGCCAAAATGTCTTGACATTTACAACCTAGTTGGAATGCGTGACAACCTACACAGGAAGCCTATAAATCAGGGGTCCCGCAAAAGAAGCTATAATTAAAAACCGCTGAGGTGCCTATATTTTATATTGATTTAATRTCAATTTATAATTTATTTACATCTTTATTATTCAAAAAACACATATTTACATGAGTGCTAAATTAAAACATGAGACGCAAATACGGTACGTGGACACCAACGTGCTCAGTTTTGCTATAAATAATATACAAACTAGGTAAGGCTCACACAGTTGACTCGATAGAATAGATTTGCGATACAAACTCATTGCATATTAAGTAAACTTGCGTGCAAAGATTTGAATTATAAAGGAGTAAACGAGAAGTATTTTCATCATTTTTAATCTTTCTCATCTCTTTTGCATATTGTATTGAGAAGTAATTAACATTCGTTATATTTTTTCGGACCGATATCCTAGTCGTTCGCTCGCTATGATTGGCTAGCGCGCGGTCTGGTAATTCACGATCTGCCTAGTCCAGAACTGGACCCTCCTTTATCCTTGCGCCGCAGAGAAACTATTATTTAAATAACCTTTTATTTGAATCAACGTTCTCAACTTTCTTGAGCGCTCGCTTTGGATTTTTAACTTTTATTTTTTAAAAGTATAATATTATAGTAATTGAGAAAAGAGGGTCCAGTTCTGTACTACAATAAATCTGCCCGGTGTTTTTAATTAGTGAGTGTTTTTAATTAGTCCACTGTTGATTAGTAACTACTAGATGGATTTGGGGCAAAAAAATATAATTATACATGTACTGCGGTTTTGTTTCCAAAAAAAGGTAATTGCANTTATACCAAACTAAGAAGTCACGAAATGTTTGCATGTTGTTGTCAGCCCAGACCTGTTGGCAGTAGGCATATTCTTCAGCTTTAATATTAGAGTTGTTTAGTGATGAGTAGAAGGCTTCGTGAGGCGGTAGTGCTGTATACTCGAGCTTCTCCAGGGAATCCATCCACTCGTATGGGAAGAAACCTAAACATCAAATGTAAGAAATAAATAAAACGTGAAATTGTAAAACTCATTATAAAATAAAAAAAAATTAATGACAATTAAGACAGAAAATATAATTACCTTTGGTTTGAGGGCAATCGTAGGCCTTGAGAAATTTGTCATAACTAAACCCTGGTGCAATAAAGTTAACGATGTCAAGAAATCGAAGATGTTCTGTCTTTTAGGCACATACAGTTGTTGTTCCGTTTGATGGCAAACTGGATTTGTTCCATCTCGGTTAAAACAGGGAAAAGGAATTGCTTGGTGGCATTCAAATCGTACTTTCCAGAGTTGAAACCAACCACTGGCAGCTCTTTCAAGTAATCTTCAAGTCTGACCTGTTAACGTTGAATAAAAGTGTTATCAGAAATCGTTGAAAAAATATAATATGATATATTAATTAAACATAATATACAAGAGCGGTAACTATTARAATAGTATATGCAAAACAATTTATTACAAAATATAATCGTTTACGATAATATTATGACTACATACCTTCAGTTTCACTAGAGGGTACTGTCGTTTCTTTTCTTTTTTGTTCTTATCTCTTTGCGCGGTTGGGAACCTGTCACCAAGCTCCTGGTCCAATGCTCTGTAAAAGGCGGGGTCGTAATCATCATCATCCACTGAATTATCATCARTGAAGGCGCGGTCCTCTTCATTCTCTGATTCCACTTCTTCATCATCGTCATTGTCACTATCCAGTACATCAATACCACGATCGTTGCCATCATCATCATCATCACTTTCTAATTCGTCTTCATTCTCAGTTTTTTCTTCCTCATTTGCTTCTCTATCTTTTATCTTTTGATCAATTGCCGTTAATACATCAGCGAACTGTTCTTTCATCAGTCTGTTACTTTCCTTGCTTATCGTTACCATGTACTCTACCATTTTTTTGCACTAGTTCTTTACTATCACCGTTAGTGATAAAACACTGAGGCTGTTGGTATTGAGGGACATTAGAACATACGCTGACACTAAGCGGCACATGTTTAGCTTGCCATGATAACTTATCGCTGTTCTTAGGTAAATGGTCCTGACTAAACATACATTCAAAGTCAAACGTCGCCCGGTAGGGAAAGAAACGAAGATAATCAGGGATGGTGATGCCTTCATCATCTAGTAAATCAAAGATGGTTTTAG